AGAGCTTGTTATTACTCGCAATATATTGATTTACATAAGCGGAGTGGTAAGAGACCAAGTCATATCCTAAATCTTGACATTGTCTTCTGGCGACGTTGTAATTAGCCAAACTATTTTGGAATGAGCTCCAAAATGATTGAAATGTATTGACTGATAAAGCAATGTGATGAGTCAAACACTACACTAACATGGAAAGCTATGCAATCCTAAATGATCTTCGTGCATAGACAAGACACCTTTCGTACAAATAGTATGGAACGTAGCAATGTAGGACGTTTAGAATTGAGACTAAGAGTTGATCAAGCATTATATTTCACGAATGTGTCTTATAAGTTGCATTCTTCCACCGATTAGTGGACAGAGTTCATAATACACATAATAATATAATCTTTTGATAACAGGTGGAACCAAAGCAAGTTCCCGAACACTTTCCACATCAATAACGCCATTGAAGCCTCTACGCCACCCAACCCATGTGTTCTGCTCATCAAGGTGTCTTATACTAGTTGCTTACTCACAACTAAAGCGGCAGACTGCTCAGAATAAGGAATGTGTGTTTGTATAGCCTGATGAAATATGATGTCATAACAAGCTTTTGATTAAGAACAGCAATAAATCCTAAAAAGGGTTCAAGTTCCCCGCCCTTATTTTGTTCATCTTCAACTATCTTATCATCAAGCCGCTAAAGCCATACTTGCTCAATTATGTTTTGGAAAGATATAATCCTCCTAAATTTTGCAGACTGGCATATATATTGAAATATATTATTTGTTTGTCTAAAATTCAACTCGGTATTAGTATACTATAAGTTGCCACTACCAGTTCCCTTAAGGCAAACGACATCCAAGACCAGCAGAGGTAAATAAGCAGAGTAGTGACAAGGAATTTCAAGCAAGTGCTGATGATAAAAATTTGCAAGAAGCTTATGGAGTTGTTTGGTCCGTGTTCATACATCTTCCCCCTCATTACTGAGCTGTAGTCATTCAAAATTCAGAGAAGATAGCAACCATCTGTAGATAACACTATGAAACAGGAATAATATTCGATGATGGTTTAAGTTCCTCTGACGTGAGACAGAGATGGAGATGTGGCGGATTGACTAAAAGATCAATCCGGATACAGTAGGAAGGAAGAAACTTCATTGTAGATAATCTTTATACATCCCGAAAATGCACAGTACAACTATAAATTAGCGAAAAGAAGAAATGTGAACCCGTCAGTTATTAATTAGAAAAGAATTGAATCATATACTTATTGACACAATAATTACTCTCAACGTTCATCAAGAACATACGTTGATGTCCATAATAACTACTAAATAGAATAACATATCGCTGCTCGTACAGAATTCTATCGATGATTCTTATGAATTCAGAACGGAGTTCATCTTTCGTGAAGCCTGTCCTTCCAGAATGAACCTCAAAAATATGATATAAATCTTCGTTTAACTAATTCGATTACTTCAACATTCATTTGACATACAGTTACTCCCATTTCATCGAAAAGATCATTTCTACCTAGTCGTGGCATCAGATCGTATTCTGGACCTTCATTATCCAACAACAAGTGATCGATTTTGGTTCTAAACCGAGGTTTAAACATGATCATACTATAACTAACTTGTTCACTAGTTTCCCGAAAAAGATCTCTAAATCGATGTGGGTCATTAGTTGTTTTTCGTAATTGCCTTCAAGTATAATTCATAGAAACAAATCCTTTTTAGTAAACTCCTGTACCTTGATTGTTACGAATGTTAGCAATAGAAACACCAGTCTCAGCTCCTACAGCAAAAGGGAAGAAAAGTCCGATCTTCTCAAACATCTTAGCGTTTGGCTCATATACTGGATCAGCAGCCATGAATTGACTTCCCTAAAGGTTAACGGTTACGGATACTGTAACCTCATAAGGTAACATACAGAAGGTAGCTTTGATTTGAGATATTCTTCAACGGCTGTATCAGCTCCAACTCCTAGTGTTACAATGGTGCTTGGTTCTTCCTGAATTAACCAGACGCTCAATTTAAGAAAAAGACTGAACTAACATATTGGGAGAACACGTGATGCTTAATTTCATCGTTGTTTTTTAATGGTGAAATTATAATTTTTTTGATATCTGTCTTCTGTTTGCAGTCCTCGACGATATCCTGAAGTCCTCTTTCCCAAACCTATAACTCCGGTTTTATAGGACTGATAGAGTAGGATTGAGACTAACGGTCGTTTGGTTTTGTTTGATGGCGTTATACTTCTCAATAATACATTCGTTATAGCTCTGAACTGTTTTGTTGAAAGCAAGACGTTCTGGATTTGGTAATTCTTGTATTGGATGAAGATCAACAGCCTTTCCATCTGGACCAATTTGCTGAGATAGGAATGAAAAGACTTCAGATAGAGAACAAACAGTACTTGTTCATCCAAAGCATTAGAAAGAGATGGAACATTGAAAGCAATATCCTCTTCTAGTTTAGTTTGTAGATGAGGTCTTGACGACGTTGAAAGAATCAGGAGACATGAGGCTGTTACTCCAAGGCCAACATAGAGCATACGCAGTTGTCGAGAAGTCATCTGCAAACAGAAAATTTCAAAAATCTGCGATGGCTGAAATATTCAAATTTTCAGGAAGAAGAACACATGCTCACTTGTGATGTATTCAAGTGAATGGTATGTCTTCAGGATGCAGAAGGCGGGAATAAATGAGCAAGGTTCATAGATTTACAAGATTAGATGAAACCAGAACGGGATATGAGGGAACGAGATCTCGAATTTGCCGATCAAGCTTTGAGGTGACGACGGTCTGTTCCATATCTGACGCTACAATTCAACCTAAACTGTACCATCTTGATTACAGAATTTAACGGAACGCACTTCGCTCCTTTAAGAACATCATAGTGCGCTGCACTTTTCGTTGGATGAAACCAGACAGTTTTAATCTTCTTCTGAATCTTCAATAATCTTCATTAAAATCTTCTACTTTCACATTTCATTGTCTACAATGACGAATAAATTCTAATTGAAATCCTAAACTTTCCAAAAGGGAAAAAAAGAGCTTGTCTGGATAAATTCTTTTACAAAACATACAATATTAAGTAGTTCAAGTAGTAATTATTTTTTCAGATTTTGCTCTTCTCGGCATTTGGGACATCGACTACGTATAGCTCTTTTAGATGTTTGGGACTTCAGAGGGTTCATCACTGGAGCTGTAACCTCAGATCCTAGGGACTGAACATTTTACCATTCAAATCCACATGTAGTTGGGTTAACCTGTATAAATTTTTGCATGGTTTCATCTTGAACTGTTTGTATTTGAGCTGTTGGGATACTTAATTAGATGATCAGAGATCAATTCATTGAAGTGTCGTTGATGCTCACTTAACAAGAGGATTTTCCACGGATGGTTCAAAATTGATTTGAATATTTAATTGACAGTTTTTTGGAGACTGCATGAATTGATGAATGGCTTGTAAAACTATATGTTTCAGATTCTAGAGCAGCCGATCAGTATCAACGTATCTCTCGTACCTCAACTGCTTGACAATCCATATTGAAGTCTTTGGTAGTATTGTTCCGAATTGGAGCTCTTAAAAGACTTATTAATACTCATTCGATAACTTAGTACGAACTCCATATGTTGCATTGGAGAAGAACAACCGAATCGCTCGAGGAGAATATAAGAAATGACAACTCTTGTGTTAATATCTGTTGCCACGTGAATGTTCACGTGAAACTATCGCCACCGCTATGATATTTGAACCATATTTTAATGAGGTAAATGTTTAATTATAGTTTTCAGCTGTTACATGTGAAATCGTAGATATGGCGTTGTTGGTAATAAATAAAACAATCATTGTGTTATTTGTTGATTTGTAATCGAATATGACTTTCTCCCTCTCCTTCTCTAGGAAAACTCATTTACCATTCCATACGGTTATATACGTGACCAAACGGCTATCGTACTTCAAAGTGCAAACTTCGCGGTAAAACTCATGCGGCCCTGAATGCTATAGAACCATTGAAATCCTAAAAAATCGATAATGTCTATCAATCCAATCGATTGATTGTACGCTCAAACTACCTCTATTTTTTTCTACATATTCACTGTCCAAACTTGGAGTCGACGTACTTATAGGTAAGTTCTGTGTGCTTCCTTATTTGACATGAGTGTACCTATTTTTGGCTTATCCATACATTTTCTTACTTTTCCATCGCACTTGTCTGATTATCGTAGGAACGTTTTTTATAAGCATATTCTCTCGGGTCTAATTTGCAAAGGTCAAGTTTTTCTTTTCTTCTTCTCCCTGACTCCCAAAACTTCGCTTCCTGAATTAGGAATCTCCTGGGTTTCTCAATATAAGTGTGCCGTCAAAGCCTAATTATGCTGTCAAGCTCAACTAGTTGGTATATCGGAAGTTTAATGATGAAGCCAGCTTGCGTGTGTCCGTCAAACTGATGACATGACCTCATCGGAGACGTCGAACAGGAAGAAGATGTCGTTTATATGGCGCCGTTTGCAGTTCAGCTGCTGCTAGGCCGGCTGAACAGCGGCCGTTCGATGCTTTCCATATATAGAAGCCTTGAGAGCATAAAATTAAATTCGTCTATACGTTAGAATAGTTCCATAAAGTGAGTGCGAAGAACCGACCAACTTGCAGTTCGCCAAACGATTTTCCTGGCAGCGAACGTCATAGCGAAGATAGTCATGACGTAAACTATTTCTTTTCTTATTTGCTTCTCATCCATCTTTTCCACATGAGTTTCTCATATTTCTTGTATTCGTGCGATGTAGGATAGATGTAGACAACTCATAACTCGTCGTAACATCTCCAATACAGTTTGTATTCATTTTGACCTATCGATTTTTTCTCCATGCGTCAGCAGTAGAACATATGACGGTTTAACTAAACCATCTGTGATCTGTTTCTTTACGAAACTTACAGCTCTAAAGTAGCTGGAATACCGAAGGTTGGCGTGGGAATGTTGAAGCCAAGTAGAAGACGGAAAGAATTTGGCCAACACGTTCATCTTTGTTGTTTCTCTTTGTGTTTTTGACCTTCCTCGAATCTTCTGAAAATTAATCGATCATTTTACTTATTGAGCGCAGCTTATTTGATTAGCAATGGGATATACTATGTTTGATACTTGGGTAACCCTCTAATTTAGATATTCAGCATATAGAAAGACCCTTCCTAATGAGGAAGTTATTCCTCAGAAATCTATCAATTAGCTGTCATCTTAGTTTTTCTGCATCCAACTTCCAATATCAAGTGTTCCTTTTGGTTCCCCCATGGGAACAACGTGAACTCTCCATCGTCGCAGTTCCTATCTTGTCTGAGTTGTATTGCGTTTGGCTTTTTGAACAACATTCAAAATCATTCCTCCAGGACATGATCCCCAGTTACAGCTAAGCGATATGGTTGGGCCTATGGGCTATTCTTTGGCAAAAAACTGCCCTCCTAAACCGAATTTCACTTTCATCCTTTTGCATCCTCTCTCTCATTTCCTCGTTCTCTTTCGCCATATATTTATGCACAAAATGATGATTTTCTTCCATCTGTCTGTGATGTTTAGGTCGTTCTGACGGATACTTAGACGCCTGCTGTCGTCGTGATCGCTGCCTTACCCATGCTGTCTTTTTTTTCTTGTCGATGACGACGGCAACGTTTTTGCTTGTGAAGCGCTAAAATTTCCCGCAATGAGTGGTTCCCTTTAATTTTCTCCGTGGAAGATTTAACTTTCCATTCATGAAAATGAATATGAATGAGAAGTATTAATTAGAAATGATCACGCAAATCATTACGTTTATTGATATATTCAAAAGCCTTCACGTAATTGTTGGTAACTGACGAAAAATAATTTTCACCTGTGCTAAGTTGTCAGCTCTCTCTGCTCACTTCACATAAATCCAAAAGTTAAAAGGTTGTGATTGTTCTATGTATTCGTTCATTCTCTTATTCTTTGCATTCAAGTCGTTATAATTTCAAATATATTCATTTCCCGTAATATTCCATTGAATAGAGGCAAAAGTATACGTGGAAACATCACGTCACTTTTTGTGGCCACGTGAACAACTATGTTGATTCCATTTACTTAAATGCAAAGGCGTGAACGGTTGATTCTCTCTATTCTCCAATCATTTTTTCTTTTCTCCAAGGGTCTTCTCGTTTTTGATTGAAAGCCATGCAAAAAGTCCATGACAAAATTATGAGATTTGTTTCCTATGTGCTCAGTGATACCGAATGACTTCAATAAAGACTTTGTGATTGCTGTCGTTTGGAACATTTCGATACTGAGAGATGCTGGTCGGAAAAGAGGATGAAAATCAAAATCCTAATATTTCTTTTGGTTCCTATAATAGCTAGAGCTTTTGCGGGGTGAAGACAATATCTTCATTTGCATTTGAATTGTTAATGAAAATGCTAATTTGACACCTGCTTTCAACGTTCAACCTTACAGGGAGCATTTCTTTCGCGAATCTCACTGCTCTTTTTTTCGGTTCAAACTATCTACCTTTGCTCCAATGTTTTTTTTGCTAGATAACATAAAGAATGAGAGCAGTGAGATATGGCTTTTAAAGGTTTCTGAGTAATTGTTCCGGGTGCGAATGTAACATCGATGAGAACAAAAAGAGCCTTCTGAACGGGTAATTGAATTTTGTTCGTGTAGTGGCCAGAGGAATATTTCCAACGCTTCGCTATAAGGGAATGTCAAGGATGCTGATTTGATAACCATAGAGTTATCGTCGCTATTCTCGCTTGGACGCGATAGAAAGAAGCTTCATTATATCTGAGTTAATCAATCCGAACTTTTCAGGATTATTCGTGCTTCAAAAGTTTTTTTCTGCTGATTTGATATGTGATCATTGACCTCAGAACAAATCAATTGCAAAGCCAAAAACTTCGTTTTTTTTGATCGATTGCTTTTATTTTTTATTCTGCAAGTGCTCAAATCATATGTGATTTGAGGGAGCACATGATGACTTACGATAATCAGCAGTTTTGAAATCATAATTATTTCTTTTCGGAGAATTTCTTATTTGGTTTTCATCGTTTGTCATTTGAGCTTTGAAGCGCTCTCCTTCGTTTTTTCTAATTCAAATTGTCAAAATGATGGTTAATCCTAGTACACAACAAACGAATTGATGTTTAACGTCAATTATCTTTTGACTTATAAGATCAATTAGATTTCGTGCAATTGAAGACTCTTTTCTACTTTCTCGTCTGTAGCTTGATTTTCAATCAAAACTACAGAATACGTGAAATAATTGACATAAAGGCTACATTCTCATGTTTGCATGTCATGCTGAAAGAATTGAAAGAGAAGTTCCGAGGTATCTGAATACGGGAGAGGAACAGAGAAAGATAACATTCAGAGGGACCCATCTAAAGAGAATTGGAGAGAGGGAATGAGAATTGCTTGCGGCGGGACAAAGAGAGAAATCTACCGATCGACTGGGAACTAGGCAGCTGATCCACGTGAAGTCGCGCAGCGCGATGTTTGGCCAGCTATCTTCCCAGCTAAGGACACATACACACCAGTCCAAACGCATGAAGAAAGAAGAAAAATTGCCGGAGGGAGTGTGGTGGAGAAGATTAGCAATTATTCACTTTTTACACGTAGTTAGCAATCTGGTTATGACTAGTAGTTGAGAGGATTTCATTTTACAATTTGCTTCTTTCCTTGTTGTTCTATATGAACGTGTAATCTATACAAAGTAACCTTCTTAAGAAACTGTGTTCCAGACGCATGATGAAGGAAGTTCAACGACCGACCGCCATATCTCTACGTACTGATTTACCCTTGGAACCGAATGAAATTCAAACCAAAAATGATGAGCCTGAGGATCCTCATAGGTGCGCTTTTTTGTATTCGAATGTCGTTATATGTGTTTTTCTCTCGTTGCCAAATCATACATTGACTATTCTATTCCCGCTCGTTTCTGACCTATCGCGATCATGACGAACTAAATCATTACTATGCTAACCCCTCATCAACCCTTTAATTCTTTCTCTTTCCCTCTCTCTCTCTCTCTCTATTTCTCACTATTCTTACATCTCAGTTCCTCTTAATCTCTCTGCCTCTCTCTCTTTGTTCTTTTCACTGCTTTTCTACATCTTCGATCGTAGTCTACGTGAGAAATGACGTGTTTCACGTACTGGCTTATAACCTAATTTTCAAGATTACATGCCCGGGGAACGGTTGGTTATCTTTCTACCCCTCTTCTTCTCTTCACTTCGCATTAATTTATTCTCCGAATCAAAAAGCATTCTCTACTCCTCCTCACTCTCAACGTTTCATCTGAATTATTACTTTTCTTCTATTTCACGTCAATCGTTCCAACCTTTTAGTATTTCGAATACTTCGGTTTATGTAATGTTCTCTACTAATGGTTGTGCGCTTCTTACGAAAACAGCGTGTCAGACCTTTCTTAGATATTATCTCTGAGACTTTGTTGTATCCGATTCACATCTGTACGTGTGATTAAAAATCGACAAGCTCACGTATATTTGGGATCCTCCTTGCGTGGAATACATGCTCTCTGATTCGAGTCAAACGCTTTCGTATTGTCATCCCTGTCTCCTATTTCTACCCCTTTTCCATTTTCCCTTTTATGCTTTTCTCTCCCTCTGTCTCTCGTTTGCACCACTACATTCATCTCATCCATATGGCTGGTCGTTGTCGTCCACACCAGTCTGCCCCTTTCCGCCGAACCACCCAGCACACAACGATCGCCATCACGCCACATACACGTGAGAGATATAGCATGAGACGTGAGGAGAGTACAGGCGTACTCAGGAAGAGAGTGTACGACGTGACGAGAGTCGTTTGCTTGACGACATTACCATCGTTTTCTCTTATGCGTGTACTCTCTATCTTTTCATTATCTCTCCCCTCTTACTCATTCTTCCTTTCCCATCTGTCTATCCAAATTTTTGTCTCTCCCCTCCATTACAGCTCTGCTAATTCTATGCGTTCATCTTTTCTCTGACTCTCTGATTTCTCTTGCTTTCGCTTATGTCCCAATGTCTGCAACCTCTGACTTCCCTTTACAAATTCGTCCTCCTTCTACCGCTACCCCCAATGCTTTTGACGGTTCATTGACGACCACCAAGTTCTGTGCCGCCCCTTTCTAGCCAATTGACAGCCGACAGAACCCTCCCTCAGTTCACACTATTTCACGTTTTCACGTGACTGATTACACGTACATTCCATATTGGTTGTCTTTCCATGTATGTGAGTCAGTCGTTTCCTCTTATCTCTCTTTCTTTTATTCTCCACACTCTCCATCTATCTATAGGACGATAGACATGCATATGTTTAACGTGAAAGTTATCATTCACAGCATGTTCGAATCAAAATAATTTTCCTATCTATTATTAGTTGAATATTATAATTTGTCCGTTGATCAACTGTGGTGTTTGCTTCCTTGTTTCTATTGTTTTTTCATGCAGTGTGTTCACCTGATATCCTTAAATAGTCGTTACCTAAAGGCTTTCTGTCCTTATCTATGCTCGCACGACACGTAAAATACATTTCGTGTCTTGTCACCCTTAGCGTTTTCACGTCGAATCGACTTTTTTCGTCATCAGAGTCAACTCTGCATGTATTCGGTTTTGAGTTCTTCTTTTCTTTTTTTCATGACTTTCTCACAAAAACTATTAACACGTCGGCTCTGTTTCTTCTTCTTCTTCATCTGTTCCTATTTTTCTCATTTAAACTTGTCCATCCTATCGCTGTCACATCGTTAAGAACTGAAGACGTCAGCACCTGAAAACGCCATGTTTAGCCTAAAAGATTCGTTTTCACCTTCGTCATCGTTAGTTTGGTAGTCCGTTTGCGTTTTCCGCTCATTTCTCTAGAGTTCTACATATTCCTTTCTATTTCCTTCTTTCCACTTCACAGAGACCACCCGGTCATTTCCGTGTCGTTCACGTAAAGTAGAAATAGTCGGCTAGTTGTCTTGGAAACTGTTCTTTCTTTTAGTCTTCTGAATAACACCCAAATACTACTTTATCCTTGCCAGTCATTAGCGTCCTAAATGTTGACTGGAAGATGAGTCTAAGTGTGGTCCCAGCCTTCTGACCATGGGTGAAATCTTCGCTCATTAGGTCGATTCCAAACAAGGAGTGGTCAGATAGACAACAACGATCAAGACGAACACGCACTCCATTACGAGGAACCCCTCTAATTTTCCCGTTCTTGCCCCACCCAACGTCAGGTTATACAAGAATCAGAACCATCGTACATCTTTTGTTCAATTAAAGTTTCTCAAATGACCTCTGTCTCTAGCATTTTCCTTATGCTCGTCTCTAAATTTCTATTCTGCCTCCGTGTTCTCCCTATGTTTCGGGCCTATTCGTCATCTCGTTCAAGAATACAAAGTGACTCTCAAGCGTGTTTGGTCGATTCCGGAAAGGCTGGGTTCAACCAAATCTGATCCGGCTACATATGCACATGCACAGCTCTAGGGAAAATTTGTGTCTATTTCAGTTTTTTTCTTCTAGTTTGTACACCCAACTGACCTTTGAGCTTTCCATCAACAAAATTGTATCCGTGGTTCCACGTGAAGAATACGTGATGTTTCGAAATCATTTTGCGTGAATTGCAACGTATGGAACGGTTGTGTTTTCTTCGTTTGGCTTATCATTCAATCTTAGCCCGACGTTCGCGCCAATATTTTCATTTATTTTGACAAATTATTCTTCACACTCATTCAAGCAGTTTTATGTTTTCACGCATAGGGGCAAAAGGGAAATTAGAAACATCTACCCAATATATTATCGTTTCTTCCTTGTTCTCCATGAATGAAGCTTGTTCTGTTTTCGCTCTGTGAGGAATATTGTTGATAAGTTTGAAGTTCACATTAGTTTATTTATGACGAGATCCTTGTATTAACAGTAGCCGTTGATCTCTCTCATCTTTTTCCTCGCCTACAATTCTCCAACTTCTCATCATTTTTTCTCTCTCACACACGTGGCTTTGCATTCTTTATCATTGCGATTCTTACGTGATTCATTCATAGTTTCTCCTTCTATTATCCCCCGCATTTCTTCTATCTTTTTTTTCTTTTTCACTCTTGTTCCTCATCTGCCCTGCTACAAGCCAGCTATCTCAGAGCTTTTCTCTAGGGGTTCAGATGGAAAATCAATGTTTTTTGTTTGTCCGGCTCCAACGTGAAGTTACGTGTAGGCTGGACTGGTCTCTCTCTTTCTCATCTCTCTCCCTCTTAGTTTTCTCTTTTCCAATCCTCTGTATTGCCTCGAGGGAGACACAGGGGCCACGCCAAGGCTAACCCTTACCCCTAACACGACCATGATCATCTTTAGCTTCTTGAACGGAGTTTTACCCAATTCACCAATCTGGGAATATCTTCCGGGAGGTTCGTTCTATTATTCCAGCAGCTTTGATCATACCTTATCCAGTTGTGAATAGACTGTGGGAGCGATCGACCACTATTCCTATGTTAGAAGTTGTTAAATATGTTTTGTCCACTCAAGTATTCCGAAAGTGTTTTTTTAACGAACTGAAAGTTAAGCTCTCGGTACTCAGAGACGCAACGTGAACTCTTCTAGTCCGTCAGGTCAACACGAGACAGCTGCCGGTTCCAGTTTGGAAGCCGTTTTGAACATAAATAATAGAGAATTCGAATTTCCCGCGACACTTCTCGTAGACCACAGACATATTATCGTTACTTTGAAGCTGCTTCACTTCCTTCTTTGTTGCATATACCTTCGTTTTGTCCGTAATGAACTTTCTCTTATGGCTTGTGGATAAATCATTCAGTTTATGTAGTCTATGGTCAACCTTCTATCGACTTTCACTCCCTAGTTGATAGTTATCAGTGCAAGACTTTTTCCTCGAATAAGTAATAAATGGAATTCATGCGTGATGAAACTGATGCCCACCCCCAAAAAACGTGTAAAGCTTGTATTTAAAACGTTTGCTCACGACTTTGCTCTGCAGCTGTGTCTACCATTCATGACTTTTTCTTTCTATGAATCTAATTATTATTTGATTAATGAAATAATAATTTATTTTATTCTCTCACTGGCTTTATCAACTTCTGCCTCTATTAAGAATCAACAACTCCTTTCAATCTAATGGACTGTTTTCGAGTGATAACAACTGTCATATATTGTGTCTTTTTCCTTTATTTCCAATAGCGTCAGCAGCATTTTGACATCCATGATGACGATGAACTAACGGACGTATGGTGATCCCTCAAATGAGGACGATACGTGGTTCGACCTTGGTTCGGGTAAGATACCCCGATTTTCAAAGAGACAAAGACTAGTAAGGCCTGTAGCCTAACATGAACCAGCAAACCATACTGGGTTCGTTCGATTTCCTACGTGTTTAATGGTTTATTCTGTCAGAGGCTCTTTCGAAATCTCTTGGACAATCTCTTTTGTCTGTGAACCATTGGGTTGTAGAAAAAAGCTTTAATAGAAAAGATGACTTACCCGTTTTAGTTTATATTCTGACCGCGCAATTTTCTCTCATACCTATCATAACTATTGTATATATTATGAAGTCATATGATATTCAGTCACCTTCACACTCGCATGTAACTTCTCTCTTTGACCTGCTTTCTCTAATTATAAATTGTACTTGAGCTTTTTGTTCTCATTTCCAAATTTCAAATTCAAAATTTTCCCGCCTAATTTGTCACGTAGCACGTGTAAGTACGTGATTACAGCATTTTATCCCGCGCAGATGTAAAGATTGGTTGCTTCCGAACTGCAAAGTTTATTTCATTATTATTTAAAAGTTAGTCTATCATCTTGCTACTTCATTCAATCCTATAATTTTTTCTTTCGACCAGAATTTTTTGTGAAAAGCATCTCCTTGA